ATATAGCGAAAAAGGTCTTTGATAATGATAAAGATATGAGAGAAAGGAAACTATGACGCAGAAATAGGAGCCAGCTCCGTAAGTTTTAGGAAATTGAAAAGTAATTGTTGGCCAGGATTAACAAAAGGCATTTTGGCTTGATTGTTATATGATAGTCTATCATTCACGGAAAACTCTACCAGCAAAACATATTTACAAACCTCGCCACCCCCCTGTCGACTGGTTTCTCCATAAATGATGTAACAAGCGAACAAAGACTAATGAAAAAAACACTAAGAAAAAGCAAAAGCTCCAGGGCCAGATAATATCACAGCAGAAAAACCAAAAAATAAATAGCATCTATAACAATATCGCTACCTATTTGCCCTCATTTAATAGAAATATGGGAGAGCGGAACTACTGCAGTGGGATGAAATCAAAAATCCTACCTAAGTAACTACCCAAAAACTAAGACCACAAGAAAATTAAGACTTATTGAGCTATAGCCATCACATCCTATAGCATGGAAAAAGCATAACACCCACACCAAAAATACATAAGTATATACAGGCCAAGAAAAGAAAATACTGGATCCAAAATTAATTTAGAAAAATAATCATGCAGAAAAACTAAGTACAAAACCCCTTCTGCTTTACATTTGTGAATTATAACAGAGCTATTGATAATGTTAACCATGCAGTTTTTTCAGAAAATAAGATAAATAAAAGCTGAAGTCAGTGAAGTAAGTAATTCACAGAATAGGTGAAAGACAAAAATCAAGAGGTAAAATTTAGAGATGAAGAAATTAAATAACCTGAAAAATACAGAAAATAAATTATGGGAGGTTTAGGTAATTCGATTTAATTTTTAGTAGTTTTTTTATAGATTTTTTGTTTTTATTTAGCCTTAGGAATTGCTTCAAATTTAAGTTTAGATCCATTATGTCCTTCAAGGCTCTGTAGAACCATAATGTCTTATATTTGCAATATGTTTTCCCATTAAAGGAGTATAACCAATTAATGGCATCAATAACAAGGCTATTGTTACTATGATTTCTTAAAATATGGGCAAAGAAAGTAAGACGTTTCTTTTTTAAAGATACGTGAACCTGGGTATGGTTAGACTTCTTCCAAAGATTTTCATTTGAGATAATATTTGGATAGAAGATTCCATTTATTATTCTAAGGCATTTATTTACAAACGTTTGTAATTTCCTAGTTTCGGTCTTGGTAATCTCCCATGTATCACCGCCATAAAAGAGAATCGGGATGATGGTTGAGTTGAAAATACAGAGTCTTGTGAAAACGGATATCTCTCTAGCTTTCCACAGTTTAAAAAATTTATAAAAAGCCGCCCTAGCATTTTGTAAACGAATTTTTAGTTCTTCTTTACAACTACCTTTATTGTCAATGGTTACACCTAGATATTTAAAAGAATCTACCACCTTAACCAACTTTCCCCCCACCACCAAATTATTCAGAAGAGGCGCCTGGGACGAGGGCATTATCACTGTTTTATCAAAGTTAATGTCCAAGCCAACCTTAAGACTAAAGGAGTTTAATATAGCGATCAAATTTTGGGTTTCTTCCAAACTTTTTGTTATCAAAACTATGTCGTCAGCATAAGATATCACCCTATTTTCCAAGAAAAAAGACTGACTGGAACTTAATTCTAAGAGATTCGCAGTAGCCAGCGTATCTACTATGATTTTATTCATAAGTATATTAAACAAAAGCGGGGAAAGAACACATCCTTGTTTTACCCCTTTTTTTGTCCTAAAAGATGGAGAAACCTTATTATAAATTTTTAAGGAGGCAAAAAGACTACTATAATGTGTTTTAAGGATCCTTATAATATTAGAGTCAATGCCATATTCGGTTAAAATCTTCCAAAGCTCATCATGGTTAACATTATCAAAAGCACGTTTAAAGTCGATAAAAATAAAGTAAAAAGGTAATTTATACTTCTGACATTTCTGCATTATAATCTTTAAAGCTAATATTGGTTCGTTTATATTTCTACCTGGACGGTAAGCACAAATATACTTAGACAAAAGGTTTGGTGTAGAGGAAAGAATGCGATTTTTTAAAAGAACCATAAAAACTTTTGATGCAATAGACGTGAGAGCGATGGCTCTATAATCCTTGAATTTAGATGGATTTGGAATTTTCGGGAAGTTGCAAAAGATAGTCTTATTCCAATCCGCTGGCATCATCCCAGTCAACCATATCTTGTTAAACAAAGGAAGTAAGAACCGAGAGATCGTTAAGGGAGCTGCTTTCAGATGTTCTCCCGTAATGTTATCTGTACCCGGAGATTTATTATTCCTAAGCTTCTTAATGGCAGCCACAATTTCCGCCGATGAAAAGTTTGCATCCAATTGTCCCCCATTTTGACTAGTGGATGGGATTAAGGTAGGCCTCCTAGAATCAAAGACTCCCATATAGTGGTCAAGCCATAACGCTATCTGTTCGTCAGGGTCAGTAATTAACCTATTATTATCCAGTCTTATAGTTGGAAGTGTCTTGAACACTTTGGCTTTACAAAAATAATTTAGTTTCTTGTAGGCGTCGAAAGTTCTATTTTCCCTCATATCCCTGTCTATCTCAAAAGCCTTTTTAGCAATAAAGATCCTTCTATCTCTCCTTAGGAGTCTATGAATTGAGGTCCATAAGTGACCATCGCGCTCACCTCGTAACTTGAGTTGAGCTATCATGCGAGTGGTGTCATCGGATAGCCATTCCTGTCTCGGTGGAGAAATGTTGATGTTTGGGAGATGATTGTAGGCATCAAACAAGTTGTTTTTGAAAGACGCCCAACATTCTTCGACAGATTGAGACTCCGACGAGGATAAGAAAGTTGCCTCTCTATCATTTAAGAATAGATCGAGCTGTAGTTTGACTGCAGGGCGTTGCAGGTGAGTTGCATTTCTCTTCCAGGACAGGTATCTCGGCTGGGGTTGAAGAGAAGGACGCCGAGAGTTTCCCCATAAATTTTTCACAGTGATAGTGGCTCTGATTAATTTATGATCAGAAATATTAATATTTGGCATTACTTTTACATCGATAAACCAACTATGGATGTTCGAGATGATAAAATCGATCTGAGACTTAATATTATTTCTACTGAAGGTTAGGGTGTTTAATTCACTGTGCGAAAAGAAAGTATTTTCGACCTTGAGGTTTATACTCCTGCACATCTCCAATAACTTTCTACTGTCATCACTGTTTAATTGAGAGAGAGTTGCATTCCCAATTACCCCATCTCTAATAAAGGAGTCATCTTTTCCGATCCTAGTATTTAAATCCCCAAGAATTATCAAATTTCGACTCCTAGGAAGAGAGTTTACAATGTTTTCGAGGTCATCGAGGAATGCGAGCCGTTCGTTTCTTCTAGGCGGGGCATAGACATTAACTAAGATTGTTTGCCTGAAGCAGGTATTCAGGTATAGTAAACAGCATCTCTCCGAAATGGGCACAAATTTATCCACGTATTTGCATAATCTTTTGCTGATAAAGAAAGCAACTCCCGACCAATTATTGGAAGTGGTGCCAGAACTATACATTTCAAAGTTATTAAAGGTAGCCATATTATTATCTTTTGAGTGGGTCTCCTGTATCGCGATCACATCCATTTTTTCGTCGACCATGAGCCTTAGAAAAATGGTTAATTTATTTATTAAACCATTTATATTAAGCGAGGACATGATAAAATTTCCTTTCAAACCACTCGGGCGCTCCATATCTCTGTGCACATTTGGAAAACGAGTTGACATGGACATTTATAGAAAAGATTTAAAATTTGAAGGGAAAATAAAATATAGCCAAGCGTATAAAAATAAAAGTAAAACTTTACAAAAATTTTTTTTTTTATTTAATAGAAGACTATGGAAAAGGAAAAGATTAATAAAAATATATAGGTAAAACAATAATAAGGGGGGGAAAAAATCAGGGCGGGATAACCTTATAACTTTACAATAACCAAAATTAAAGATTATATTAAGCTCTAAAATATATAAATACAAAAATATTAATAACAGATAGATAATAACACGATAATGGATGAGTGTGCACATAATACATTAGGAAGTTAAACCACACCTATTATATTAATCGTAAATATATATATATAATAATATCTAATTGATAAATATAATATACAGTATGATAAAATATTACACTAGATTCCTTCTTTACTATAATATGGACAAGATATAAATTCTTTATTGTATCAACGAACATCTTCTCTATTAAATGGTATATATTAAATCATAAAAAAATATTAATTTTTCAAAAATCTAAAAGTTTGAAAATGACAGCTCTTTACATTATGTAAATGAAATATAAAAAGGTTAAATAATATAATTTAATGTATTTATTTAGATTAAATCTAAATATATGGACAAGATATAAATTCTTTAAAGTATAAACGAACATATTCTCTATTTAGAAGTAAATATATAATCATAAAATAAAAAAGGTTTGAAAATGATTGCTATGGACATTATATAAAATGAAAAATAAAAAAGTTAAATAATATTGTATATTTTATTTATTAGAATAAATCTAAATATATGGACAAGATATAAATTCTTTAAAGTATCAACGGACATCTTCTCTATTAAATGGTAAATATTAAATCATAATAATTAATTTTTCCAAAATCTAAAAGGTTTGAAAATGATAGCTCTGGACATTAAATAAAATGAATCATTAATAAGTTAAATAATATATTTTAAATATTATTTATTTAGATTAAATCTAAATATATGGACAAATAATATATTTTAAATTTTATTTATTTAGAATAAATCTAAATATATGGACAAGATATAATCTTTAAAGTATCAACGGACATCTTCTCTATTAAATGGTAAATATTAAATCATTATAATTGATTAATTTTTCCAAAATTTAAAAGGTTTGAAAATGATCGCTCTGGAAATAAAATGAATCAATAAAGTTAAATAATATATTTTAAATTTTATTTATGATTAAATCTAAATATATAGACAAGATATAAATTCTTTAAAGTATCAAAGAACATATTCTCTATTTAAAAGTAAATATTTAATCGTAAAATCAAAAAGGTTTGAAAATGATCACTATGGACATTTTATAAAATGAAACAAAAAAGTTAAATAATATATTTTAAATCATATTTATTAAGATTAAATCTAAAAGGTTTGAAAATGATCGCTCTGGACATTATACAAAATGAAACATATAAAAGTTAAATATTATATTTTGAATTTTATTTTAGATAAATCTAAATATATGGACAAGACAACGAACATCTTCTCTAATGAGAGGTAAATATTAAATCATAATAATAGATTAATTTTAATCTAAAATGTTTTAAAATGATCGCTCTGGACATTAAATATAATGAAACATAAAAAATTTAAATAATATATTTTAAATTTTGTTTATTTAGATTAAACAATATCTGGACAATATATAAATTTAAAGTATCAACGAACATCATCTCCGAAACATGATAAATATTAATATAATTTTAAACTTAATTATTTAGATCTTAATTTAATGGATATGATATTAAATCTTTAAAGAACAAAGTAAAATTATATATATTTATAAATATATATTACATTAATTTTAGTGATATTAACACAAATTATAAAGAGACTTCAAATTATTCTTCATAGCTCATGGAAAATAGTGTTTAGAATATTCCTTTTATTATATCCCAAAATTATAATATCGCAGACTAATTTTTTGCGAGAATTTTACAAAATAATAATAGCTCGCCGACCGTTTTGCAGAAATATTACCAAAATTTACCTTTAAGACAGGACTATTTATCAAATATCAGAAATTTTTTATATCGCCTTTATATTTCTTGGAAATATTGTATTTTATTTAATTATGATAAATAAATTTTACTATGAATCAATACTTACGTCAACCTCCCTCTCTCCTTCTTGATTACTCTGAATCAGTTCTCTTAAAATTGGTTATAGACTATTCATTTTTTTAAAAATTCCTAAAATACTGATCTATATAATGTAGTCTACAAAAATCCTATTGTGATTAAAGCTATTAAGCAAATTAATATTTAATTTAAAATTCATTTTATTGTTCCGTAAAATAATATCATATATAAAAATTTAACAAAAATATTTGCTTTTTTTAAATGTAACCATTTTCAAATAAATTTTTTTTTACCTAAAATATCTTAATCTATAAAAATAAGAAATTTAATGGCTTATAATATATTTAAAACTGTGCTAACATCATTTATATTAACCATAACCACTAAATGATAGCATAGCGGATTTATATGTCAGAGCGGGATTTTAACTAATTTTATTGTTTCTCGTTAACAATTCAATCTTATTTTATATAAAATTTATTAAATAAGTAGTTATATGGGTATTCAAAATATACCATTATTTTACCATAATTTCCTTCTGCTCTTGTTAGATCCCCGAACCATTATCTATCTGAAACGATCCTCTTGGCGTTTAATCATGAGTTAAAAAGCAAGAGATATGGGTTATTTTTAAAATTATCACGAATTTTTTTTAGAAATGTAAGCCACGATTTTTCCGCCTATCATATTTTTAATATCTATAATTTTTTCATAATCTTATCTCTCTCCTTATTTCTTTCCACAACTTTATATATGATTTGAGTTTGATATCTGTTTAATTTTGTGAATTTATGATTTTAAGTAAATTTTTAAATACCATTAAAAAAGTTTGAAATTCAAAAAAACATTATTGAAATTTTAATGTATGCAGATCTTTAATAGCTATCCATAGCTCTATTATTTACCTTTTTTTCTTCTTGTAAACATGCATTTTTCGAGGTGCATATTATTCTAATTGCAATAAAATTTTAACTTAAAATTTCTCCATTTTTTCAAGTTATAAAAAATAATAATTTTTTTGTCATAAATAATAAGAAAATTACCAACCCAAAAAATTCTCAAATTCTGGGTAGTGTTATAAAATGAATAGCTAAAGAGATGTTTTAATATATATTTAATCCTGAAATACTACCTAAAAACTATGACGAATTATTATTTTTTGAATGGGTGAATACTAAACGAAAGGATATTTTATTTCATAAGATAGAATGAGCAAAAAATATTTATAATTAAATTCTCGCTTGATATAGGCTTTAATTTTAAACAATATCTCAAAATTCGAAAACGAATCATACCTTATTACAGGATCATTTGATAGATAATAAGGGTCCGCGAGAAATTGTAAAATTTTATCCAATCCAAATAACAACTAAAATCCAAATCCATCGGCGACCCAACTGTATTGTGGTTTAAAAAGGAAACATACAACTTTTAAAAAGAATAATTCATAATAATGTAACGAAGTAAATTTTAAATCGTGGACTATATTAGTTTTAGAGGAGGATATATTTTGTTTAAGGCAAAAAAAGTGATATTTTTTTTTAAAAGTGAAAAGTGACCCAAGACCAGACCAGACCTATTTTTTTAAAAAATGGTAGTTGGTTTGCTATTCACACTTCACCAATTACACATTTTTAAAAAAAAATTTTTTATAAAAAAACTGCATAAATATAAGGAACAAAAGATTTAGCTGTAATAAATAAATAAAAACTTAAGACGTTAACTCTATAACATAATTAAATTAAAAATTTAGTCAATATAATTATTAAAGAGTGACGTAAACAAATCGTCTAGACTAATAATGGGCATCTTATTTTTGAAAAAGGATCGGTCTATAGGGTTGATTTCAAATAGGAAATAATCACGTTCATTTGAATTTGGATTGTCAATCATAATTTTTAATAAAGAATTTTGGTCGAGATTTGGAAATGACGGCTCTGGCTCGTTTAACGAGGTGGAAACTAGTCTACCACGTTTAAGGATAGCCAAAACGTCGTTTTTAGATCTAAGCGACTTATTTTTGCATTCATTCACGCTTTTATGACCAAGTGCTTTAAAGTGAGATATTTGTTCCTTAACGCTAACCCTCAGCGCTAAGTCGACTTTGTGCATAATATTATTGGCCGTTATGCTTCTATCCAACGCCTTGGATTCTAGCTGGCTTTTGCTAATATCTTGGAGGATTTCTAACTTCCCTGCGAGTGTTTTCAAATTTGAGAAGGTGTTAGGTTGATTCAGGATTTTCATAACATCATCAGCTAAAGCCTTATCAGAATTGGCTTTTTCGGTGGTAGAGACGCAATGTGTGTAGGCGTTAATCCATGCTTGCAAATGGACGGTGTTATCAAGATTTGGAGATGCTCGATTATCATTAAATATTGAATTTCGTTCCGAGGTTTGCTCCAATTGGGACCACATCTTAAGGATAGTGGAGGTTTCCACAGAACTGATGGAGCTAACAGGATCACGTCTACGCAAATTTCTATCGAGCACAACTTGGAGCTGGCACGATACTTGGATAAAACAACATTCCACATTTCCTAACCCACAATCCAGCCTTAGTCCCATTTCTAAGCATTCGCGTTTCATGCTAGGATAATACATGTTGTCGTCGAGCAGGATATAAAGAGTCGTAATATTCATGGCACTGGATAAGCCAACGAATAAGGAATGTTCTACGAGGTGACAAAAATCATGTCTCAGTTTCCTTAAAAGTTTAGAATCAGCGGAGAGCTGGGTTAGATCGTCACCTATTAGGATTAGTTCTTGTCTAAATTTTGGCATAAAGCTGGTATTGTAGTATGTATCATCATTTCCATTACGACCACCCATTGAATTAGACGAAAAGAAACTTCGCAAGTTAATCGTAAAAACTTCGACGCATTTCAAAATTTCTTGCCTTAAAGACTTCCAGAGCTTTCGATTATGATTAGGCTCATTGGTGGATTCACGTTCTTCCAATACTTCATTATCCCCTTTATACAGGTTCAGGTCTTTCGAGATAATTTTATCGTATTCAACGTGAATGGCCAAATTATTTGAAGGGTCATCGGGAAGTAAATAGCGATCCTCGAGAATAGGGGAGGACTCATTTTCCAAATGTTCGTACGTGCACAATTGACTAAACTGTAAGTTTGAAGAGTTGATAAGATGGACTAAATTGCGAGCTAAGGTTGTTTTTCCGCTACAGGGAACTCCACTGAATACGATTAAACGAATACGCATTTAGTTTAATTTTAAAGAAATTAGTCTTTTTTTATATAAAATAATAAATAGTGAAAATTTAACAATTTTATTGAAAAGGGAGGGGTGAAGGATATTTTTATTTTATTTTTCAAAAATCGATTTCTTCATATTGAATCAAATTTCGAAAGGGATTTTCTTCTATAACATCGTCTTGTTGCACGTTGTTATTCGAATTTTGATCGATTGAAGAAACGTTTTCCGGGGTTTTAGGTATATTTTTAGCGCGATCGTCGTAAAAACTTGCGGGAATTTTATCTCGACCATTATTATTATCATTATCTAAATCCCTGCTATTGTGCGTGAGAGCCATGTCATTTTTAGGCAAGTTGGAATTCAAGTTGCCCGAAAAGGTTGAGGCTCCCCAAGGGTTAGAAATGCGTTTAAATTTTTGTTTGGATGGAATGGGCATGGAAGCGTCCAATTCGGATTGGCTTGGAGTTTGGCTAAGGGAAGAGGGGACGTTTCGATGGTCCGTGGATATTTTTCTGAAAGTTGGGTGTGGGGAGGCGATAAATAAAAATTTGGTAAATAATTGAATATAAGGCATATTTGCATTTTTTTTAACATACAAATAAAAAACATTCTATTTTATATTTTAATGCCATAATGATAGGACAAAATGCATAAAAGTTGCTCAAGGGTGGCTCATAGTTAATCCACGATACAAATTCTGTTATCTAGATTCATTTATCACAATTAATTTTAAAAGAGAAAAAATATCACTATAATTTTGTGGAGATAGGTAGGCAATGAATTGAAAAAAAACTTATCTAATAAAAAAAAACATATTAATTTTCTCTCTAAGTCTGTGTCCATTAAAAAAGATCGAAAAGTTTAAAAAAACTTTCGCAAATTTTTCAAGTTTATAAAATTTTCTAGAATTATGTTTCGGACATGTTTTTATATTTATATTTAAAATAGCTTATTTATTTATTTTCATAAAATTTAGTAATTCCACGATAAATCGACCAAAATAACGTGATTTTCGAAAGACCATTTTTAATATAGATAAAACTTGGCATAAAGGTTAAATAGATTGTATATTTTAGAAAATTCAAGATTTTAATGCCATAGCTCAAAATATATCTCCAGTTATAGACCTTTTCTAAATTCGATGAGAGCCATTGCCTCTTTTAACGAATATCATATTACTCAAAATATTTTTGGCCTAAAGTAACAAATTAATTATATATCATTATGTAGCCCAAAATATTATCGTTCAGAAAATGCAAAAATTATTTTAAAAGTATTTTCAGTGTCGCTGTATTTCCGGTAAAACAAAAAAATATTTTAAAAAGGGCCTAAAACTAATTAACCAATCTACTTAAATATTTAAGTAAAAATATTATTGGAAAAAAATAACAACTTATTTCTATAATATACAATCTATTTATCTTTCATATCATTTCTTAAGTTGACAAAATTTCCTCACAAAAAAGAGTGATTATATGGGATCAATATCAAATCAATAAAGTAGATTGGTTGCAATCATTGTAATAGCATTATAAAATGTAAAGGCAAAACAATATCCCCTCAATCAATATGATAGGTTCAATTCACATCTCAGTAAAAAGTGTAATAAAATTGACATTTTTTTAAAGACTGTGCATTACCAATTTCTTTATCTAAAAAAAATTACTTTTAAAGATAAGTTGCTAAAGTTATTTAAAAATAATAATATATAATATACCTTTTAAAACTGTTAATTCAAAAGATTTTATATGTTATCTTGATTGTTCTGTGAAATTAATATGCTTACAATACGATTAAATTGCAAAGGTATAATACATTTGCAAAAATAGAACAGTTGGTAAAGGAAATAATGTCTAAAAATAAAAGTCTGAAAATTATTCATCTGACATTTGGAATAACCCACAATCCATTTTATCGATGATGATTTAACATTAATTTTGGATGTTGCTCCATCAGGTGAAAATATATTTAAAGCCTTTGTTAAAATAATTAAAAATTATAATTTGGAGAATAAAAATTTTTCTATAATTTGGATAATGCAACTAATAATAAAACCTTTATTGATATATTCTTTAACATTAATAAAAATAGGGCACAGCAAATGCTTTGCCCATGTAATTTAATCTCCAAAGAAATTTTAAAATTTTTAGACCCTTCAATTTTAAAATTAAGAAACATTAAATGATTCATAATTCTCCAAAAGTTAAATTTATTTAAAAATATATGTAGCTTACTACACCCTCTTCTAATTTTTTAAAACCAAAATTAGATTGTGAAATAAAGGGAGAATAGTACCCACTAAATGGTTGAAAGAGGCTTATTGTTAAATCCTGCTATAACAAAAATAGTCAATGAAGTAATAACTAATATTATATATTTTATCAATATCTGCTGATTATGATATTGATATATCCAAGTTAACGGATAAATTTAAAAAGATTTATAACAGCTATAGAGGTATTTAACTTTAAGGCTGATATCTAATATTTTGGTTATTATTGCATCATCAGCAGTTAAATTATTATAACTCAACAATTTATCACATGCTGCTTTAAAACCATTGTTTAAAGGATTAGAAAATAATAAGGTATAACCAAATTATAAGTAGGATAATTTTCCCCACATACCATATTTGTAGTTTCATATAAAGGCAATAGCATAGCTTTAATTTTTTTAAAAAATCCTCCTATATGTTAACAAAGTATTATATTAATAATAAACTTTAATTTACCTCTGATATTTGTTTTTCTTGAAAAATTTTAATTTTAGTTATTAATTTATTATATTTTTGTTATAGCAGACTTTAACAATAAGGTTCTTTCAGCCATTTGGTAAGTGATATTCCCCATTTATTTCACAATCTAATTTTGGTTTAAAAAAATTTAGGGGAGGGTGTAGCGAACTATATATATTTTGGGAGTATTATGAATCTAATAATGTTTCTCTGTTTTAAAATAGAAGGATCTAAAATTTTTAAAATTTCTTTGGAAAATTAAATTAATTACATGGGCAAAAGCATCGAATGTGTTCTACTTTTATCAATGAATATTTTAAAGAAAATTTATCAATAAAGGTTTTATTATTAGTTGCATTATCCAAAGTTATAGTAAAAAATTTTATTCATCAAATTAAAATTTTTAATTATTTTAGCAAAGGCTTTAAATAAATTTTCACTTGAATGTACTTCATTTATTGGAACAACATCCCAAAATTATGTTTTACTTTAAATTTATCATCAATAAAGTTGGTTGTTAGTCCTAACCTATGTTGGGCTAGTTGAAATGTCAGATGAAAAATATGACTTTTATTTTTGGATAATTATTTTCTATTGTTATTTAATCGTATTTGATGGAACATTTTAATTTCACAGAACAATCAAGATAACTTATAAAATCTTTCGTAATAACAATTTTAAAGGATATTTAAAATTAATTTTTTTTTAGATAAAGAAATTGGTGATACAGGCTTTAAAAAAAATGTAAATTTTATTACGATTTTTACTGAGGTGTGAATGGAACCTTTTATAATGATTTAATACGAAGGGATATGTTTGCCTTTACATTTTATAATGCTTTTGCAATGAATCGATATGATATTGATCCTATATAATCACTCTTTTTTTATGAGGAACCTTTGTCAACTTCAACATCAAGCATAACTATTTCATAGGGAGCATTCTTCTCATAATTAGGCTAGCTAAAAATAGTTTAAGGTAGAGATGTATTATATTTTTATGTACCTTTGGTTTAAAACGAATAATTTAATATTCGTATTCACAATTATTCGATTTTTTTAGAATAGACCTAATTATAATATTTAAAAAAAATAATTTTTGCTTCTTTGAGATAATTCAAAAAATAAACATTATTTTTGGTTTAAATTTTAATTTATTAAAGATTAATTTTTAATAAGTGAGGTCAAAAATAAGTTTTAGCCTATAATAGATTTTTTTTTTAAAAAAACACATAATATCCCGTAGTGTTTAATTTGGTAATTTTCTAGTATAAACTAAAATATTCAGAATTTTTAAAATTAAAAATATTAGATTGTGGTATTCACAGCCAATAGTGTTGTTAAACGGCTAGTTTGCCGATTTTTAAAAACGGCTAACTCAATATTTCATCCAAAAAAATATTACGCAAGCCTGAAGATTTTGCTCATAGAAGGAGCAAAGGTCTAGACATATATTTTCGAAATCTCGAGGCTTAAGCATTATTTTTCTGAATGAAATATTAAGTTAGCCGTTTTTAAGAATCGGCTCAAAACGAGCCGTTTTACAACAGTACCAGCCAATGATATAAATATTAGACTAAAGATTAATTCAATAAAATGCAACTAAAAGTGTGCACTAAAAGGAGACACCTGTAAGCGTCATTTTGTGGGTTGTCATGCCGACTAGCTTTATAAAAAAAAGCCAATTTGAGTCGATTTTCAAAAACAATCATGTTTAAGATTTTACCCAAAATAATGTTATGTGTAAGCCTGGAAATTTTCCTCATAGATGAGACAAAGGTTTGAAACCCCTATTATTTGCTAAATCTCAAGACCAACATAATATTATCTTAGCCAAAATTCTTAATCAGACCATTTTTAAAAATCGATCCAAATCGGGATTTTTAAACAATACTAATGTTGACTAAATGAAATTTACTTCGTTTTTAAAAAAATGTAAATCTTTTAGAACTTAATAAAAAAAAATCACACGTTAACAAAACAATATAAGATTAAACGATAAATGCCATTATAATTTGACCTTTGTGCAAGCCACAAGATAGCGCGTACAGTTGATCACTATCCAAGTCCTAAAATAATGCTTTAAACTAAAATTACAATTATTCAACTTCCTTTATAATAAACTTATTCGTTTGAACAATAAACTTGTTATCGGGGTAAGAGATGGCGTTATTTACAGAGGCAGAATTCTTGGTGTTGACATTGGAAGCGTTATGTCTAGCGTAGGATACTATGAGATGGACGTCCTCGCCTGTTTCTTCGTTTTTGACGACGGTATTGTGAAGCTTTACCAAGGATGGGACAAAATTATTCATTAAAAGTGTCGATGTATTTCTTTTAAGATTAATTTTATATCTTAGTGAAATATAAATATTGTATCTTTAAGCTTCGTTCAGTCAGCCTTCTAAATACTCATTAAGTTGGGAGATTTAAATAGCTTGTTCCAAGATATAAACCATGTAAGTTGTGTAGTTAAATGGCTCGCTTTGAGCCCCTATTTAAAAATTTGGATAAACCACCTAACAAAGAAGAGGAGATATAGCAAAAATTATTATATCATTAGTTAGTAAAAAAAATAGATTTTAAAATGTAACTAAATAATTTCATAATTAGCTATTAAAATTGATTCAAGCTAAAAAGAAACTAGGTCTCGGTAAATAGCCAGATATTAAAAAATTTTTTTAAAATATATATTTTATACGAGCCCATTTTACAAAAAAAAATGGTAGCCCCAACCTATATTTATATATTATAATACGTATACTTTTTGAACAAATTCCTAGCTAACTTAAGCCATTTGCCCATATCTACTACAAAATATCCCAGATGAGGAACTGGCATGAATGTGATATCTTTTTTTAAAAAATTCGTTCTTTCTCTTCATTTTCCTTCCATAATTTCTTACTTATCTTTTTTAAAAGTAAAAATAAAACCTTTTTGATTATATCTTCAGCCACTTGTATACTCTCGAAGGAAAGGAAGGCCCTGTTGTGTCTGCCCTGAAAGTTGCATTTTGAGAATTTGTGTTGAGAAAATACGGAGTTTATGAGGGGTTCGGTCAAGGTTCCCGTTGGTCCAGACCTATTCAAAACCATGGTGGATATGTAGAGGGTATTGTTGGGAGGATTCAGGTAGGAAGTGCGCCTCTTGGGAATGTACGTGGAAGGGTCTTTGATTTGATTTTGTAGTTGGGTCGTGATATTCAAGGGAACATTGGCTGCAGTCTGATATCATTTTTGATGGATGAAAAATATATGAATTATTTTTATAAAAAAAATTGGGTAAGAGGCAGTTAAGTCATTATCTGGATTTGTATTTCCAATCGACTCCATCTTATGCTAAGGCTATATCAGAGCGTTCAAGAGAATAAGTTTAGAAAGTCTAAAAGCGAGGGTTGCACAAAACATCATTTCGAAAAATTTGGATACTTCGAATGTTAGAAATCCAATGACATTTAATAATACCTAAATTGACGATGGATTCATAATAATGCATTTGAAAGCGCGTCGTTGAATTCAAATCAGCTGTACCCGCCATTTTGGTAACCCATATGGTAATTATTCTCATGTTATAAACTACTATTAAATTGATAACTTGCTTCCTATCTACCAGGCAATTCTTTAATAAAGTTTGTGTCAAACAGGGGAATAAATTGGCCTCTCGTTTAAAATTTTTAATAATGATATGGGTAATCAAAATGGCGTCCCCAGATGATTGATGTACATTTTTGAATGCATCGTCAGTCTAGGAATTATTATATGGTTGCAATTTTAAAAAATTTTATCGTCTGCTTATTAGTTATATTTTAATTCCGAATAATTTTCCATATATTAATGTAATAGGTGTGTTTGTGTATATATCAGGGTTGCCAGACTTCCCAATTAAAATACCAATTTTTTCTGCTTACCCCAAAAATATGCCGTCTATTTAATTTATACTTTCTTCCAATACGCTTTCTCCCGACAATAAATGTATGGATTTCTAAAATTTCATTATAAAATTTTGAAATATAAAAAATACTTGATAATAATTAGTCTAACCAAGAAACCTAAGCTTTTTCAGAGAAGGTACAAAAATATTTAATATCCTAAAAATTTTAAAACGAAATATTATGATAAATCACATTCATATTACTTAATTCCGAAAATAAATCCTATATGAATGTGAGGTAAGTATTTTATATAATTTTTAAAATCCAATCTATATACAAATGAGGCTAGAAATTTTTTAAAGTGATTTGAAATTAATAAATAGATGGGTAGAAAGTAAACACTTGAATTTAAGTAAAGTTTTAAAAATGCAAAAAATGGAGGAAATATCATCTATACTTCCTAATTAGATATAGCAATTTAGAATCTATCCCATAAAATATTAGTAATATATATAGTTTTATAATAATAATTTTTGATTTATTCAAATAAAATTTTCTACTAATTTAATATTTCTTTTCGATTCTAAAATACAGAAATTTAAGAAAATGTACAACATCAAATAACCTTAAACGCAATACCTATTTAAACCTAAGAATTTCACTATTTATAGGAATAGAGATGAAAGTCAAAATAGTTCAATTTTAATAATATTCAATTCAAAATTTAATATCAGCCATAGAGGAGTGCATAATGTTTAGCAAAAAATATTCAACAAGACAAAAAACATATATCCAATATTAAAAAAAAATAAGGAATTTAACAAAATTTCAAATCATACTTTATAAAATTAATAATTTATGCGGCGACAATATTGTAATTTCAATATCTGAAGCTACAATTCATCTATTCACACGATAAAATCGGGCAGTTATTCATCGACAGATTTTGGCAAAATAATTGCCTACTTTCATTCCTAGTCTTAGAAATAACCAAAAATATATAGAATGTAGAAGGATAAAAAAAAGCTTCAAAAATAGTTGTGAATATCATAGGTCATGGCGAATAAGAGACACAGTTTTAGAGAATTTGAAGGAAATTATAATTTTTTTTATTTATTAAGGGAATCCACAAATAAATGGAAATACCAAATTATTTATATAAATTTTTTTAAAATAGTGAAATAGGTGATCATATTTGACATGGAATCAGCCTTTTATAATTTTATTTGTATGGCAAATCACGGCACATTTTTTTTTGTTAAAACGACTCATTTCGAGCCAATTTTAAAAACGGCTAACTCAATATTTTATTAGGAAAAATGTTATGCAAGCCTTAAGATACAAGATTTTGCTCATAGGTGGCACAAAAGTTTGAACATCTATTAACGAAATTTCGATGCTTAGACAATCTTTTTCTGGCTAAAATATTGAGTTAGCCGTTTTTAAAAATCGGCTTAAATCGAGCCGTTTAACAACACTAGCAACAACACTCTGGTGTGACCGATGAAAAAAAATATATGTGCTATTTCGGACTTCCCCTCAAGATTAGGCCATTTTATAGATGAAACCCACAAGAGCGAGATGACGGTTTCCTGCTGTTTCTAGAGTTGACTCAAACCCGGCGAATAAAATGATTTTACAAAAACCGGTTCAACTAACTAGAAATAATTGACGAGTGTTTGTGAGTTGGAACAGAAAAAAATGTTTTTCAATTTCCACTATATAATCCACGCCAAACATGGAAAATATTTTATATTAGCATGACATTGAAGATATGAATAACTTTTCCTCTTTTCTTCTTTTTTTTCAAAATTATTTTGTTGAATTAATTACTTTTTTGTTTCTTTATTTTCTTTTCTATTATATTTTTTTTTTTTAAAAAAATCATTTTACATTTTTCCTAGGAATAACGGTAGAGGGTGGAGGCGCATGAAAAGGAGAAGGTACGATGTTGGAGCCATCATTTTCCACATAATCAAAATCTTGATTGACGCAGGGCTTGTTGTAATTGGCATTTGAACGTTTTTGGAAAAGTTGAGATTTTGGCTTAAAAAATAAAATAATTTATTTTTGCAAAAAAAAGGAATATTGAGAATAGAGAACACAGATTATATTAGAAGTCTAAAAATACCTGATGCAACCCGAAAAACTACCTGCCAACCAAGGAATTGACCCGGGAAAATATTTTGGTCTTTAATAATTTTTCTTTTAAAAAATTAAGTAGAATCTTATCCTATTTTTAAATAATACTTATATTTATTTAAATTAAGAAATAATTGAAAGTTCAAATTTTTTTAAAAAAAACCAATTAATCTATTACCAACAAAAGAATCAATATAATTTTTCATTTAAAATATTAGACAGTTTAATAAGCATAAATAAATAAATAAAATCAAATTTATAAAAAATAATTTTGTAAATAAAAATTACATTATAGAATAATAAGAAAAAAGTCGATGTCATGCCCGATAAATCATTTAAAATAAATTAAAATTACTAATCTCACCTGAAAAATGCCATTGCTTTAGAACCTTTCTTAAATCAGGGAATGTTTTTTCGCTTTGAGCTAAGACACGTAGAATCCTAATGTCGTTTTTGTAAAATATCTCTCTGGTAACCCATTTAAAAATCTAAAAATTTTCAGTTTATAAACAAGTTTCCAGAAGGGGAAATAATTTGAAGGAATTTTAATTACCCCAAAAGGTTATTAAAGATAAGGAGCTTATTTGACATGTAAAATATATTTTGATTGTTTTTCTAATTACATTAAATTATCAGGAATAAAGAGGAGGGGGGATCAGGACTTAAAATTGTAGAAAAAAAAATAATACTTTCTCCAAAATTGGTCAAAGGAATCTTATATATAGACTAGAACAGAGCTTCAAATACAAATTCAACTGTTTATTTGACATTTTAAGGAGCACAGACCAAGCAGGGATCAATTTATTGCAAAAACATGGTGGTATTCTCTGGTAGAACAGGTTCAGACCCATTTCAGAAATTGGTAATGATTAGGTTTCTGTTATTATAATTTCTGCTAAATTTTAAAATTCCTGTATCTGAAATTAGGTTCAGAGACTTGGTCTAGGAAATTAAAAATAATAAAAAAAATTGATATATCTAGTTTTTTTTAAAAAAATGTTAAATTATATTATTACAGTGGATATTGGATCTGAATCATTTTGAAGCTGGGATTGAGATTGTTCGGATTCCTTTTTTAAAATAAATAAATACGGATCAAATTGAGGCTAACATTTAGCATTTAATAAAAAAATTAAAGAGATAAGCAGTAGTATAATTTGCACAGCCCAATCTAGATTTTCTTAAGAAAATTTTTTTTTTGGCCTGGCCTAGATATTATATTTTCAGCAAGATTTTTTTTTTAAAAAAAAATTTCAGGCCTGGCCAGGATGTTTATTTATTATTTAATTTTTATAGCTAGTAAATGTTATTTTAAATAATTTTTTAAAATATAAGGACTGGCCTGGTTATTTTTTTAAAAAAATTTGGGCCCAGTATGGGATTTTTTAGGTCTTAGTTGGGTTGGACTTCGGGCTGGCCCTGAAGGTCTCTGCTAAAAATATTTGATAAAACCAATCTAATATTATGTTTTTTATTTATTTTATACTTATTTATATAATAATGATAAATTACTAAAAATGAATTAATATTATTAATTTGTAATTTTAAAAAATATAAATATTAACAGATAAGAGTAAAAATTTGATAATTTTTTTGTTAATTAAATATATGACTCATTAGAAATTTTTTAATTGGGGCAAAAATAAATTACACAAGCTTATTTTATCAACAGAAAGCTATTTGAGAATTATGTAATAATATTTGGCCAAAAACTTGATTTAGCCATTATTGGGCCATTTAACAAAATACATTCAGACAATATGAAAAGATATACTTTTGGTAAAAATACACGTAATCAACCATGAAAGTTATTTCATTTTTTTTAAGACATTGATTCAAATATAAAATGTAACATGAATTAGAAGAGTATAAAACATAAAATAACTAGTGATAAATTTAAAAAAAACATTTGAGTTAGGAACAAGATTTGGGCATACAATATTTTCAATGTTAATATATTATTTAATCTTTATAGTTATTTTTGCAGATCTTTAATATGATCATCAATTATAAAGAGATATTATATATTTAATACTATAATTATTGTTCTTAATTAATGAAATTTAGAGTAAACAATAGGAAAATTTAAACCTTTATTTTACGTTCCAAATGTTTGGATCTCTTAAAGCCTTGATTTTCTTTAGAAACTTTTAGTTTTAAATCTATAACACCAGATTTTACTAATTTTTGTGCAACTTCTTTTGCCTTCTCAATTGATTCTATAAAAAAAAATTTATTATATTATTTCTATGAAATTATGCTATTAATTATAATTACGTGTTGGAGTTTCAATGTCATTAATCAATATCTTAGATTTTTCATATTCGAGTATCAATACCTTCTAATAATTAAAATTATTAAAAATGATATGAAGGTTAGCTGTAAACTTTTTTATTTAAAAGAGCATATTTTTTTAACAATGATTCTTCTTCATTAGTTAATTTAGGATCCAAATAAAGAATAGTTGACAAGTTCATAAGCTATATGTCCATTTGTGAGATTTGAAATTGTTACCAACCTCCCTACTAAAATTAGATGATTGACCTTATATTTTCTATCACTTTGACAGAGAATTTATTATATGAGAGTTAATAATGAGATAATATAGAATGTGAAATTCATTCATTCATTACCACGCCAGAAATTGCACGAAGTGCAATTTCATCACCCACCAGGAGTTGTAGCGTGCACCATGTATATTCACTAGTATATAGATCCTATACATGATGTATATCCGTTTTATTATAGTGGACGGTACCACTATGTAGTCAGCTAGCATAGTAAAGAAGAGAGGAGTAAGAAAGAGGGGATCTATTAGTTCCGTTACCGGCAAAATAGTGTTAAGAATTGTAGCTAATATTAATAATAATAATGTACCTGACACCTGGTTAGATTTAAGAGATGGGAACTGGAGATCGTTATCATTATCAATATTCACGGTTTTAAGATTATCATTGACTTCGTCAAAAATCATAATTCCTATTGCGCCAAAACATAAGTTGTCATTAGACTGGGGATAAGAGATTGGAAATAAGGCAGTGTGAGAAATAGTCTGATACGTCCACGATTCCTGCTCTAGTTTAAACCATATTTAAGCATGTATTGCAGATGTTCCTTTAAATGTTTCTTGTTTTTGCTGAGTGCAAGAAAATCTATAAACGTAAGATTGATCAAGTCCATGTCCTTCAGACATTTTGCCAGCCAATAGTATTTGGGGATTCTTCGCCTTCCATAATCCGGGGTCCACTCCATGGACGAAAATATCATATTATCTCGTGAATGTCTTAAGCAGTGGCCGAGTAATTCTAATCTCCTCAAAGGAATGAGTCTTTTGATAGGTAGGATGTCGCACCTGTTCCAGAGAGTTGTGTTTGGGGTGTTGTGTGGATAGTAAGTTTTAGTGATTCTTCTTAAGCACTTGTTTATGAAGGTCTGGGATGTGTTGATGTTGCTTTTAGTGTCCTGCCATGTTTCCAACCCTTATGTTAAGATGGGTAGAATTAGGGATTTAAAGAGTCTTATTTTTAGGTTCGTAGATATCTGGTTGGACGACCATAATTTAGTTAGCTGATGATATCGGGATCTGGCCTTGTTGGTCCTCCACTTAGTATCCAAAATGGTGGTGCCTAATGACATTATTCTGGTTCCTAGGTACTTAAAATCCGAGACCGTATCTACCACATTATCCTCAAAGTTAAAGGGGTCGCTGTTATATAGAGGGATATTGGATACAATTAACTTTGTCTTTGAGTAGTTGACTTTCAGTCCGTGTCCAAAGCAATTTTTGACAAATAATCACAGCAAGTTTCTTAATTTGTACTCAGTTAGCTAATATGCATACATCATCGGCATAGCATAGAAAATTTAGAGAGTTGTGTATGTTATTATCATATTGTTGATTCAGATATCGAGGGTTAAGAGCATGTTCTTGTTTGAAGGATTTATTCAGAATATCGTTCATTATTACATTAAATAGCTTAGGTGATAAAATGCATCCTTGTTTCAGTCCTCTGTTGGCCTTAAATGGTTGTGATTTTAAGTTCAGATGTTGTGGTATCACGTTATGATTATCGTATATTATTTTTATAAGCGAAATCAGATGTTTATCTATTCCTATGTCCTCCAGTAAGGGCCAGATCTTATGCTGTATGATGGAGTCAAAGGCTTGACTTAGATCAATCATTAGGGCAAATACTGGGGACTTATGCATTCTAGCTTTCTCCAGAATAACCTTAAGCGCCATGGTTAGTTCCATCGTGTTCCTGCCCTTCCTATATGATGTGATGGCGTTTGAGAGGTTTCCATCGATGATTGGTTTAATCCTGACGGCTATAATATACGTGAACATTTTTAGGGTAACTGGGATCAGTGCAATTCCTCTGTAGTCCTTCAGGCTAGTCGGGTTCTTATTTTTAGGGAAATTAAGTATTATCGATGTCATCCATTCCTCTGGGAAATTGCCAGTATTCCATATCTCATTAAAGAGGGGAAGCAGTAGACTAGCACTTAAATCAGCATCTATCTTCCAAAGTTCCGCAAAAATCCCATCGATTCCGGCTGCTTTATGGGTTTTTAGTCTTTTAATGGCATTGATTATATCTATTCTGTTCAGGTTCCGATTAGGTGGTTGGAAAGGATAGTCACATAATGGTTTAGGCCACCTTGTTCTGTAAAGGTTCATGTAATGGTCTGTCCATATCGCTAATTGTTCTCTGGGGTCCGTTATAATTTTATTATTTTCAATGTGTAATCTTGGTAGAGGATTGGATTTAAAGGTAGTGAGTAACTTAAGAGATTGGAAAGCCTTGTAAATATTATTGTTGTCAAAGCTATATTGTATGGATCTAGATAAGTTGGCAATAAAATATCTTTTATCTGTTCTTATGCAGTGAGTTATGTACCTTCTGTGGTGTTTAGTATATTGGTTATAGGAGATATTTGTTGTTAAGTTTTTAATTATCTGTATTGTTGAAGGGGATAGCCATTCTTTACGCTTAATTCGTGGTCTTAAGCATGAATTCATACAGCTTGATAAACTTAGTTGCATATCCTTCTAAGTTATATTAGGATTGATCATGACATTTTGGGTGTTTCTCCATGTTGTTAGATTGGTGATGAACTCTTCCTTTATAACCGGATGATTCAGCTGTGCCAAGTCTTTCCTCATTATGAAGTGTGTAGAGTTAAGGAGGCTATGTTGATTTCGGTTTGGAAAAATGGTATTTTTTATCCTTAGCTCGCATCCTAGTGGGTAATGGTCCGTAAATAAGGTGAAGTTCAGTTTGCTGATGACTTTGATGTCCTTCACCCACTTAAATATATTGTTGGAAATTACAAAGAAATCAATTTGTGAGGTAGTGCCAAAAGATGGGCTTTTGTAGGTCATGGTGTGATGGTTAGGATGATTGAAGGGTATTTCCTATTTTCAAATTGAAGTGTTCACAGATTTCTATTAGTTTTTTGCCATTAGTGTTTGTACTTTGTACTAGAGTGGCGTTCCCGAGGCAGGTAGAATTGTTAGGCTTCCCAACCGAGGCATTGAAATCGCCAGCTAATATAATACTATCTCGATGAGGTAGTTCTTTTAAGATATTTTCCAGCTCTATGTCAAAAACTTTATTATTATGTGGTGAATAAATATTGAACAGGTGAATTTTCTTGTAACCAATATTTAAGGTAAGACAGCAAATGCGACTGGAAATTGGAATAAAGCTTACATATTTAATTAGTTTGTTATGGATTAAGATTGCTACACCTGCCCAAACATGTTCAGCATTCGAGCTGCAGTATAAGGTGTATTCTAAGAGATTTCTTACTTCCGTTTCTTTCAAGTGAGTTTCTTGTAGAAGGAGGATGTCGTATCGTTGATCGTTTATAGTTTGCCTAAGAATTGTGAGTTTGTCCCTTAGCGATCTTATATTTAAGGAAATCATCCTAATACTATGGTCTTTCATTGTATATAAAAAAATATTTCTATGATATAAATTATTTGCTACGAGTGAATAGGTGACTTACAGCCGATTTCGACCAAAGCTGAAGTTTATAAAAATATCTATAGCTATATGTCGTGGTATAAAAAAAATGGTGACAAAAATCATAGTTGATTTTTTATATATCACGCTAAAGTTTTATTATTATTATTTTTTTCAGTGAACCATATCTCTTAGTCCTAATTGTAGATTTTGTAAATATCAATTTGAAATCTAGATTTAAACGTGTCATTTATTTAATCTCGTTTATTTGATAATACTCTTATTGAATAATATAAATAACTTATAAAAAGTTTACAATAAATTTGTATTTTATCTATTTTGCAAAATTTTAAGTTACATTTAAAAATAATAATAATTTCAGTGATTTCTTTATCAATATCCTAAGGATGCAAAAAAATTATATTAAGAATGGTGCTATCATAAAAAAATGTAATCTATAAATAAATAATTAATTTACCTAAACATAAAAAATTTATCTACAATTCTTATGAAAAATAAAATCTACCATTTTGAGGAAATTTATTAGTTAATTATATATATAGAGAAGAAATTTGATACTTAAAAAAATACAAATATGAATTCAAATTTTAAAAATACATCATAATAGTCTATATCACTATTCTATTCTATAATCTTTTTAAAAGGGGAGGGGATATTTATATCTTATTTTACTATGGAAATTTATAATTTGATCCTATTATTCATATATATGGGTGGTGAATTTATGTCTAATTTCTTGTTACCCCTAATTATATCAATAAAATGGCATTAAAGTAAATCAGTCAATATCATCCAGCACTTTTAAAGATTTTTTTTATAAATTTAACCTTCCTAGGCTAGGTTTTTAATAAATAAAATGAAAAAAATATTTTTTTACATATTTGTTATTAAATTATTGAACATAGTACATCCTCGTGAAATTGATTTTTCTGACATAACTAGCTACGATCATTCAATAAAAGTAACGAAATATTTTATGATGGATTATTTTTTAATATTATAGCAAAATAGATTTGATACTCCTGAAAACCATTCTCTTTTAACAAGTCAGCTTCAAAATAAACTCCTCCAATGTGAAGAAAAGCACAAAAATGCTTATCCTAAAAATTACATAAATGAAGAAGAAACTAAATGTGTACTTTACTTAAAAAGATATGTATCAATCATATTATCATTATTTGAAACTGCAGCAGTAAATTTAGTTGTATATTTTTTTAAATAAAAAAATAGTGTAGTGATCCTAACCAAAATAATTTATTCAAATGTAATACATTAATAAAGGTTAAAGCAAAGGATATTAAAATACTTCAAAATTATATAGCTTTATCTTCACAAAATTCACATAATAAAGGTGACCACTTTATTAATGTGATGGAAGTTTTATTTGGCCTGATTACTCCAATTCAAAAACCTTTATTCCCTACTCACTATGATTTAAGAAATAAATTTTTAGAAATTTTTGGCATTGGGATTGAAACAATTATATTTGTAAGTTATCTTAATTACTTTATACAATATATTTGCAAAATGTTTATAATATAAATCTTAAAATTCCTTATTTTTTAATAATACATAAAACAAAATAGATTCTTTTATGCTTTATATTGATCATTCAAGCAACATCTATAATGAAAAGATCTCTGTGGCGGTTTTTCTTTGCACTAACATTTGCATCATTTTTATTAAGTTTTCCATGGACTTGGTTACATTTATATAAAGTAAATTTGATCTTTAATTTTGTTTTTTAAATATATTTTATATGAACATTTTTAAAAAATATAATTAATTTATCCCTATATTTTTAAGTAAGCATATTGTCAATCCTATGTTTATAAAAATAAGTATATTAAATAAATTTTACAGACCTGCAGGGTAAAAATTTTATGTGACACATATGGAAAATTTTTTTTCCCTTAAAATATGACATTATTTAATTTTTTAGAATATTTTCTTTAATTACAATTTCAATTTAAAAAGATCTTCTAATATACGTATTAGAGCTATCCAGCATGATTATGCTTTGAGCTGTGATAAAAAAATTTTTTTTAAATATAATAACAGAGCACTAATATTTTTTATTTGTTAATATAATATTTTCTTTGCAATTAATAAATAATATTTATTTGAGGTCACTAAGCACCAAATATTGTTTATCTTGGGTATATAATTATTTTTTTTATAATCTTTTATATTATATTAATTAATAAAATTTACAGTTTAACATCCCAAAACAATTATTAAAATTAGAAATGATTTTGAAGATATAATTTGATGATAAAGATAAAATTTTTTATTATATTCATTGAGAAATATGTAAATATGTTAAAGTATTAAAAAAAATTGATGACACTTATGGAAATTATATACTATAAAACTACCAGTAAAATAACACTATTTTATAAACTCTAAAACTAAAATTAATAAATTTTCACTCCAGATTTTATTGTCCAAATATTATATCTATATATAAAAAACAGAAAATCAGTATAATTATAAAATCTTGTCCATTTTAAATTTTTTTGAAACAAAGAAATCACACTATATAAAATCAAGCAACTATTTATAAATATGATAAATATTAAACGAAATAATTTTTGAAAAATAAATAATTTTAAATAATCATATGACGATACTTAGATATATTTTTATATTTTATATAAGAATCCATTAGTTTGTATAATTTTTATTTTTGAGATATTTCCATAATTATAATTTATTATCTTTTTCAATCAATTGGAATTACATATTAAATATAAAAAAATGTATGTACATATATATTGCAATAGTCAAGTATATATAGCGATTTTCACTTAAGATGCCATAAGTGTATTACTTGAATGAAGATTCATACATCTATTATTAAAATAGCTAAATATATTTAGTCTCAAATTAAATAAATATGGGCTAATTGGACACAACATATTATATTAATTTTGAGATAAACTTTTTGGGACAAATAAAATATAATATTACTTGTGATCAGGTATGGAAATTTAAAGAAAAAAAATTCAGCAAGGCTACTCCTGAAAATATAGGCCCAATGCAAGCAATACATATTTATATCTTGATTTGAAAAACAGTATACGACTTAGATAAATAAATTTTAAAACGGGAATCATCCAATAACCACCCCTTCGCCAAAACCTTTTAGGCCCCTAAGCCTCCAAATCCTTTGAATCTCATGTGTCTACAGTTATTTTTTATTTTCTTGAGCTTTTAATTAATTGCAAAGCCTCATCCTAGAATATTCATAAGGTGTTAGTAACCTAATGAATGAAGGTTAGAATATCGGTTTTTTAAAAGGTTTTGTCATGTAGGGTAAGTGGTCTATGTGAAATCAATAAGTTAGGCCCAAGCTAGGAGAAGGTCGTCAGACCAGGGTACAGAGATAATACCATCTCTTATAAATATACCAGAGGTTGATAAAGAATCTAGATTGTTTTGAAGATATTTTTATGCCCTAATTTGTGAGAAAAAAAAATCATTAAGTTATTTTTTATAATTTAAAGTAGATCAAAATCATTTTTTAAGAGAAATTGTGATTTCATCTTGAAAAATATTTTGAGCATAAAGATCACAAAATATTTCTGATAAAATTTTATCAAAAAACTTATACCTTATAAAATTGGAGATAAATAATTATTTATTTGAATAAAACTTTTCAGAAAAGAATTCAATTTATTTATTTTATTACAAATTGACTTTTATACTTATTATTATTTTTTTTTTACTTATTGCTCAGATGGAAGAATTATTTAATTGACATTTTTTACGACATTTATAAATTCAATAAATATTAAATACTACCCTATTTTCAAGAAAGCGGTCGTCAAAAGACAGTTGGAAATTCTGATGCCTCCTGAATGCGAAAACGTTGAATTCGAATCCGCCCAAAGTTTTGCCTCCATTCTCAAGAGCTATTTAATGAGTTGGGCTTTTTTCCCTACCAAAAAAATGGGTAACACGCAAGAAAGATGTAGGGTGCACCACGAGACTCTCTTATTGGATCCATTTTGGGAAATTACTCCTTCTTACGTTTGATTTTAAAATTGAATACTCAAACTCTTTCTTTTTTAAATGGTTTTTTTTAAATAAACAAAATAGGACAATTGGAAGTTATTTTTAGTAAACTCCATTTATTTTTTTGTTAAGTGTATCAGAGATCTTCATGGACCGGGCTGGCCTGGGCTAATTTTATTTTCTAGCTAGCCTGGGTTTTTGAAAATATGTTTTAATGGGTTTGGACCTCAGAAAAAAAAAATTATTTAAATTTAGCTTATTTAAGACAGTTGTGATATAACTTAAAAGAAAATATTGTAATTTTTTTTTCTTCGAATAATAATAAATTTAAGTATTGCAAACAATGATTGCCTCTAAATACACTTTAATTTTACGGGCTAATGTCCATAAATGTCAATCCCTCAAACTGACACTTACAACTTACATAAATATCAAATTTTCAATTATGAGAACTTGCTCTTTCATAGATATCCTTGACATTTGATGTTTACTCTTAATTTTAATATGTATAATTGTGCAGGCAGAGTTATTATATTCCTAATTTTATACATTTATTTTTTTACAATTTTTTTTAAGGCTATGGCTGTCACTATAACGAAATTCGTGCTTGAACCGTTGCACCACGTTGGTTCATCTTTCAATTCTCTGATCTTCGCATCTTTCAGCGGGCTCCCTACCCATTACGTGCTCACATTGCTAGGAATAGTCTCCTTATTTTCCTTGTCCTTCCTATTGATGAGTTTCGGGTAGAAGCAGACATTTTTTTTTTGAAATATGTTTTGGGATGGAAAAAATATCGGTAAATGAGTTGAGCTTATTATATCTGTAGAAATGAATCTACTAAATTATTATAGAACTAAATGAGGCTGGAATTTAGCCAATTGGAGTAAGTTTTGGATACATATTTTAATAAGCAACCATTCAGGTGTGTTGTGTTGATCATCTTTAAAAATGAAAATTTAAACTTGATATCCTTTTTACCGTGACCACTTATTTTATCGATCCAAATATAGTTATCATTGAGAAAAAAAATAAATTAGCCACCCTTTTATTTTCGAAATTAAAACTATCTAACAATTAATATCTTTATTTTTTTATAGTTACAAATTAAGGCTGCCATTCTTCTTTGCTACACTCGAACCGAGCGGGCCCCATAATAGGATTTTTTCCGGCGTTTCCAACAAGCTCTCAATAGATTACGATAAAGGTTCACGTAATCTTTATTTAGGTATTCTATTAGTATTTCTTTTTTACATAACAATATTTTATTTTTACTATGAAAATAAATCTTATTTTAAAACGTTGCAAATAATTATAATTTATTTAATTTAATATTTTAAATAATTCTCAAATAATCAACTTGTTTTTGACTTACTAATATTTATATTTTTATTTCAAAAATAATTTATAAGAGTTTTTTTTTATGTTTAAAAGATTGTGTTTTTGCCCTAAAATAATTTTAAATCTTTTAATGAAAAATGTTGCTTAAACAATTAACCATAAAATAGAAGGCTACTGTGGAAAAAAAAAGGCTAGGCTGAAATTGCCCCTGCATGCGTTATAAAATTAAAAATAATTATTGACGAATTAAATTTTAAAACAATATATTTATTATTTTAATGAAAAATAAATATTTTGTAGAGAGCGGGATTCGAACCTAGGCCTATCTATTTTAATCTTTCTTCCTTATATGTTTTTTTTAAACATTAAACACTTCCATTTTATGGAAATATCATGGCTCCCCACTGTCAAATATCTGTCGATTTTAGAGTATCGACAGAATATTGATACTTCTCTGATCCTCTAATCAACTTGTTTTATAATTAGTCTCAGAATTGAGAGAAGGTTTTTTTTTGCCCTTGGTACTCATTTTTCTGATCCTTGTGGAACCCAACGTTCCTCCGCGTATAGAAATTTGATTTCCTGTCCCAGAAATCTTAAACATTTTTACGAGGTTTTTCCTCCATTTAAAACACCTCATAATAATAATAAAAAATTATGATCCCCTGAAAAAACGTTTCTAAAATAGAGGACTACGAAACCAAAAAATCAAGTGATTCGAACTCTAAAAAGGAAGGGGGTTGGAAAAGGGAACACGATCCGGAAGTTACACCAAAAGAAAAAAAAAGTTTCGTTAAAGAAGGAGTGACACTGGATCCATTATCCCGCCATAACCTGACGAATAGGAGGATAAATTCGGTCGAAATGAAAGTAATAAAAATAGATATAATTAGTTTAAAACATCTCTCTTTTAGGGCCGAATTTATGGTTGCACGCCATTAATTTTCCCAGCTGATCGGGTTTTATATGATTAAAGAAAATTCTTATTTTTTCTCGATCAGCTGTGATGTCCCCATTTTTAATGTAAATGCAGCCTTATATAAAATTAATTAGCTCGATGAAGAAATTATTAAATTTTTTTTATAATTTTACAATCCTGACCGATATGGTTATCATCATATTACACATCTAAATCTATTATTGATGAAATTCTATTATTAATATTATGTATCATTACCTTAACTTGACCTATGATTAACCAGAAAGCATAATTATCTTTTTTAATAGATTATAATTTAAATCAAGATTACAGTTATCTTGCATTTAAACAACAATTTACTTTTAAAGTTATTGATTTGAGTTTGAAAAAAATTATTATTAATTTGTAATTGTTTTCAAACTATTGTTATTTTTAAAAAAAATTGGTTGTAGGTTTACGTTTAGTTTTCTTCCTAATGGAACTCATCGGATATATGCTTAACTGTCGAACCAGGCACAATAGTTTCACAATCGCCTAAAAAATTAATAAGATTGATTTCGGGTTCGGCATAGCATCTAGATCAAATTAACCTAATGATATATAATATTAAAACTGTCCTAAAAAAATAAAATACATAAACTTCATTTTATATACCATTATTTTTTAAACATTTGTATGCCTATGATTAGTTATCGATGCTTCAAACTTACATGCAAACTCAGGATAAGCGGAACCTGATATTAAGCAAACAAAATCAAGTTGCCAATAGGTTTTTTTAAAAAAAATTCAATTTATTATATGTAAGGATCGGGAAAAAAAATTGAAAGGAATCCATTTCAAAATTTAGTGGAAAAAAATGGCAATTCCCGAAATATTGGAAAAAAAATACATCCCTTCTTCAACTTTTGAGCTTAAATATAATAAATTTAATAGAAGAGAAATCCCCCCCCCCTCCCTAGTGTCGTTAAATTACCTAACTTTAGTCAGCTATAAAACAAGATAGCCATATTTTTATCCAAAAATATTCGAATTTATTTTTCAAGTTGAGACTCAAGAAGCTTAATTCAATTTTTAAGGCTAAAAGCTTTACAATAAGCCACAATAAAGATGGCCAAAATTAGGCAATTTAACAGCACTAACCCCTCGTTACATTATGTCATTTTCCGTTGCATATTTTCTAGGCATCTAATTACTATTGTAAAAGTATCACTGTTACTTATAAAACTATATATATATATCAAGTGAGATAGATGATAAATTATTTATTTATTTTTTGCACGCAAAAAGCCTCTCAAAACTAACCTCCAAGGCAAAAGAAAAAGAAACTCCTTTGGCTCGTAAAATTAGTAAAAATCGATTTTTATCTTCAAAACTACATTGCAGAACGAACATCAATCTTAAAAACGGTGCTAAAAATGAATGGCACGATGATGAGAACTTTATCGAAATACTCGAGTCGGAGATGGGGGGCGGTGATCATAGGAATGACAAATCTGGAAATAGTAAAGATTTCACTAATATTTCTAAATCACCTAAATATGATAAAAATCAAGTTAACACTAGTCTTACGAGAAAAACCAACAGAATCTGCAAAAGTTTTCCCGATATAACTTGTGATATAGACTAAAAAAAGGAAGTAAAGAAAGAAAGAAATGCATTTTTTTAAAAAACGGAAATCCTTCCAGATAAATCGCTCACAATAAAGGAATCTAATCGTTTACAAAGAATTTTAATGGATTATTATTTTATCGGTATTCTGTTTCATCGGCTATTAAACCATGATGAAGAAGAAATTTATAAATTATGTTATGATGAAGAATTATATATATTTTTTTTCGTATTGTAGGATACATATATCGATATTCTTAGTATTTAAGTGCTAAATTTATTGCCGATATTTAAAATTATTAAAAGATTATATAAATATTAAATATGTATATATTTATATATATAATTTTATAAATATGCCCATAATTGTGATTTTTTTTTAAAAATAAAAACTTGGCCTACTCGTTTTTTAATCTTTTAACATTGACTCAACCTCCTAGATATAAATGTGTTGTTACTCAATATCGAAACTAATAATGTGAATTTAAAAAGAAATGAAAGCACATTTTCGAATTCTGAAAACTCAAAATTTAACTTCTTCTCTACGCCACCGATAACTCTACAGAAAAAAAAATTTTTTTAGCCCCTAATTTTGACCGCAAAAATTTTACTTAAAATAGATTATTGATTTAAAAATCCTACTATATTATTTTCAAAGAAAATGAAAGAGGTTGGGACAGATCAGCCCAAAAAAAAGATTTTCCAACCTGGTCCAGACAAGTTCTTCATAATATTTTGTCGGGCAGAAGTTTGAAAATGTTTTTAAAACTGATTATTAGGTTTATTCATCTTTTCCTTCACAAAAATTAATTGCAAGCCCTGACCAGACAAAACTTGTTAATATATTTTACACGCGCAGGGCCAAAAATGTTGGCCAATTTTACTTAAACTTTGAGGAATCTTCGCAATTTGCAAGAACGAAGTAATCCAAGGCAAGAAAAAATTTTAACAAAATATTTATAAATTTAAAAAAGTTTATATCACGAGGTTAGTGAAATCACGTGATTATGGAAATTAATAAATTTAAAAAAGGTTTATATCAGACTGGGGCGATAACATATGTTTTCATATTTAATCAAGGAATATGAGTTTGATATCAATCATCATTTATAATTAATTGAAGTAACTTGATGCAAAAGCTAATATAACAATATATTTATTTTAAAAGTAAAGTTGTTTACGAAACCTAAAGGGCTTAATTCGTTTTGACTCCTCTATATTAAGATAGGATTTTAAAATTTTTATATCGTTTAAATTTAATTATATAATATTTCTAAATACCAGGATTAAATTATGTGTAGTTAATAAAAATTAAATATTAAATTAAGTCTTATAATATTTAACGCCATCTAATATGCTAATATTTATCGTTAAAATTTATAATTTATAAAATAAAAGTAATTTGAGATTAATTTATTAAAATTATTTACAAAAAATTCTGTTCAACATGAATGAACTTTTTTAACCTATATAGTTCCAAAAAAAGTGTTCTCAGACTAATAATTAAAAATCCCACAAATACGATAGAAAAAATATCAAGCTATCGTGAGAAAATCAGCAAAATTAACGGATTTAAATTGTGATTTTAACTGAAAAGGGCAAAAATTATTCCATTTTTAAAAATATGTTCTATTTTTTATTTCAAAAAAATCTTCCCAAATAAATCGCTCAGTATTATAGAGTCCAATTATTTACAGAGCATTGATTTTATGGAATAATATTTTATTTGTATTCGCAATATTCTATTTAAAAACGTTGGTTGTAAATTACATTATTGTAGAGCACTATAAAGAAATTTTTTCGTATTGTCGGATATGTATTCCCATTATTTAGGTTTTAAAATTTATTAACTTCTCATAAATATTACCATCTCTAGGCGTAGCCAGGATTTAAACAAATTCTTCCATCTGGGTTAAGGAATAAGATGTAGAAGTAAAATATTTAAAATTCCATTATATTTTGAATCGAGTCATATTTACCAAAAATTTGATATAAATCTGAATAAATAAGAGATAGTCCAAAGTGGAGAAATCTAATGGGTTGGTTCTTAATGTATAAGTCCACCCGACTATGCTTTTTTACCTCTAATGTGACGCATATCATATTTTTTAAAATCAATGTATTTTTATTATATTTTTTTTCATATTAAAAAAAATAAATTAAAAGGTGATATAAAAAATTGTTAAATTAAATATTTATAATAGTATCTGCTAGTGTTGTTAATCGACTAAATTTAGTCGACTAACAGAGGACTAACTAATAGTTTTATTAGTCGACTAAAAACTACTAATTAGTCGACTAAAAACGACTAATAAGTCGACTAAAAACGACTAATAAGTCGACTAAAACGACTAATTTAGTCGACTAAAACGACTAATTTAGTCGACTAATCAGAGAAGATAAACAAAAAGAAGTAAAGTGAGAATTTGTCATTAAAATAACTATATGAGTTATATATAAGTTATTTTTAATATATTTTTTTTTGAATTTCTTTTTCTTTGAAGGAACAGGTTAAAATTTTAAATTGTTATTTTTGAACTATTTTAAAATTATTTTAAAGCAAGATATAAATATATATTGTAAACATGTTATATTAAAATTTCAGTGAAGATGTACCATAGAAAAGTGACAATTGTCATAATCGTCATTTATAGGTTTTTTTGAAATTTTTTGAAGCAAATGGGTAAAAATATATATTGTAAACATGTTATATTAAAATTTCAGTGAAGATGTACCATAGAAAAGTGACAATTGTCATAATCGTCATTTATATGTTTTTTTGAAATTTTTTGAAGCAAATGGGTAAAAATATATATTGTAAACATGTTATATTAAAATTTCAGTGAAGATATACCATAGAAAAGTGACAATTGTCATAATCGTCATTTATATGTTTTTTTGAAATTTTTTGAAGCAAATGGGTAAAAATATATATTGTAAACATGTTATATTAAAATTTCAGTGAAGATATACTATAGACTAGTGATAATTCTCATAATCATTATTTTTTTAACTTTTTTGAAGTAACAGAGTAAAATAAATTGTAAACATGTTAATTTAAAATTTAAATGAGGATATATGACAATTAATATAATCGTTAATTTTAAGATCTTAAAAATAATTGCTGAAACAAGCTGGGTTTTAGCCTACGCCCTTCCATCTAATTTTAAAAGTGCTGACCGATTTAAAAATTTAAACTTTTGTTAGTTATTTAAAATTTATTAGGTAAACATTAAAAAAATATATGCTTCATTTTTAACATTTTTAATACTAAAGTACCGATTACTGTTTTGGATATTATTGTTGAGAGAAGGTAATTAGATTAAAAATACTTTTTGGATTTTTTTGCATATAACTAACATCGACGTGGATAAAAATTTAATTTTACACTTTTTCCCAAAAGCAAAGAAAATTCAATTATAAATGAAGTCAAGATTATATCACACAAAAGAAGGGTGTAAATTACAATTTATTTAAAGGATTCAATATGATATATATATTTAACTATCAATTGATTTTTTTTAAACTTATAAATGTTTAAAATAAATAAAATATCTTTGAAAACCTAGAAAATAAATTATACAAAAATATCTTTTTCAATATTGATATTTGAGGTTCAAAATCAAACCTAGATAAGAGTGATTATGATCGATCATCGGAATTATCTGATGATTGCAACTTCTAATTCATTTTTTTTATTCTTAATCCGGTATCTGGTTTCACGTTAAAATTGATATACGACTTAATTCAATAAATAACCATACCATACCTTAATTTTAGAAAAATGATTTTTCAAAAAAATAAAATTTAATTTAAAAAATAGTATATTCTGAAATTTTCATATAATTTTCCTTATTTTTATAAGTTGTTTTGTTTATTTATTTGCCTAAATTAAATAATTCATCACATTTTGAGATTTTATTTCTTATTTTAAATAATTTTACTCCTATCTGGCGCCATTAATTTTTTGTATATTTATTAATTTAATATTATTATTATTAAATAGCCAATATCTCCCCCGACTCTCTCTCTCTTTCCCATTATTATTTTAAATTTTTATTTGTATATTCTTTTCAAAATTTTTTTGCTAAATTCTATAATGTCTTTTTCAAACTCAAATTCTCAAGAGGTAAATTAATTTTTTATAAATAAATTAAGGAACCAAATGTTTTATAATAAAAAGACCTTATCTAGATACTTGGAGGTAGAGAAGAATAGTCTTATAATTAGTTCTCAACAGGAAGAGAATGATGTAATATTTTTTTTATATTAGTATACCCATTAGAGTTGTTATTACAATGTAGAAGAAAATAGACAGGAAATCATAAGCAATGAAGAAATCTATATTCGCGAGTTTGACCCAGATTCAGATGTAATATTTATATTTCGATAGTTTAAAATTTCAATAATATTAAATGTAATTAGTTGCAGTTATATTTCAAAAACTAGTTACATAATAAGTTACTTTATACAACATTCATAAACGCATATATTTAACATAAAAATTTGGATATAATAATTATAATCAATTATTTGAAAAAAATATACAATTTATTTATATAAAAAAAATAATTAAACCGAAAAAAATATCGGACCCTAAATCTCCGGGTATACAGGCCAGGACGTATTTTAATTTTTTTTAAAATATACTCAGGCAGGGCCTGAAATTTTTTTAAAAAAAAATACTTGTGCCAGGCAGTATACTTTAAAACCAAATATTTGAAATAGCCATTATTAGCTATAAAAATCAAAAATAAATATGATATATTTTTAAAATGTCCGAACCAGACCTGATAGTAAGTAATTAATTTAGTAGTTTATTCAAAAATAATTAAGTCTTTGTCGTTTTCATAATTATGTTCTATGATTTAATTTAGCAAAATTAAAAAAAAAACATTAATAAAATTATTTTAGCATATCCTTTATCCTTAATATTCTTTACATAACATGACCCTTTTAAGAAACCCCTTTTTTTTATAAATAAATATTCTCTTCGCATAATTATATCCAATTTTAAACTCGTGAATATATTCTTCCCTTTAGAACCAACTCATTTTTTTATTATTTTCTCCTTCGCGTCTGATTTGTTATTTCAACCCATTAGTATTCACCTCATTCCTTTTTTTGTGGCTATATTCAATGTATATTTTTAAAAAAATCAAATCTCTCCCCCTCTAAAGCTTTATTTAAAAATATTTTTTTAGTTTTTCTAGCGCTTGCTACTTTCCTTTTTATTTATATTCAACGCTTTCGTCGCTACATTATTTTTGAACACTTTAATTAAAAATTCTCGCTCTCGTTAAAACTTTGGCTTCTACCAAATTAATTCATTTTAGAGCACCATTATGCCGTTCTCTTTATTTATCACCGCACTATTCCATGAAATCTCCAAATATTTGTCTCGCAAGATGATTTTGAATATTTTATACCCCACAAAGTACAACTCATTTCTAATCTAGAAACTAATCATTTCACTCTTATTACATCCCTCGTCGTTTTTTAAACCAAAATTTATTATCTCTTCACACATTGGTCACAAACAAAATTGTTTATCTCTGCAAAAAATTATACATTCATATAAATTGAAATCTCTTTCCCCTTCGAGCATTAACTTTCGGCACTACTCTGATTTTCAATACTTATACATTTTCACTCCCACATTTATATATTTCTGTATTAATATCAAGCTCTCCCACAATTTTACTATGAGCGTTTTGAGCTCTCTATATAATTTATTTCATTGACTCCAAAATAATTTAACACAGCATTTGTACACTTTATTTTCAATAATTATTAATTAAACAAATCAAAAATTCCAACAATATATTTTTTAAAACTAAATTTCATTTAAAACAATTATTGATCACAGATGATCCAAAAAAGACCATATCAATCAAAATTTGTCGATCCAAATGTATATTTATACATGGGTCATTAAGCCCCGCCGACAAAACCATTTCTCTTCTTTTAATTATACATTAATACCTAGAATATAGATAGAGTATTATAATTTTAATAAATAATATTAAAATAATAAAAAATATATTAAAAATGAAATATATTATTTAGATTATAGAGAGAAATGTTATGCAAGCTTTAGATTTTGATCATAGGTGGCACAGTGGGTTGAACATCTAAAACAAAATCTCGAGGCTTACATAATCTGGATAAAATATTGAGTTAGCCGTGTTTATTAAAATGAGTTGTTTAACAACACTATCATTTTGTATAATAACAATGAACCAATTTTAAAAGATAAAATATATTTTTTATTATATAAATAATATATAGATAGAGCCTATAACTAGCCAAGATGCTAGTACAAGTGACTTATCACAAATTTCTGATATATCTACATCAAGTAATTTAAATATTTCGAATATATTCAAAATGACTCCGACGAAATCTCGTCGGAAATGTATATACTGCAATACACATTATAGTTTAAATACAGCCACAAGTACGTATTTTTAAAATTTAATATACAATTATAATATATATTTTTAGCAAATTTAAAACGACATATTTCTATATCCCATTCTCATCTAAGAATAGAAAATAAAAATAAAAAAATTAATTCTTTAGTAGGAATAAGGAAATTACTTCCTCATGAAAATACGCAATTAAACAAATTGATTATAAGATATATAATAAAAAATAACAACTCATTTAATAAAATAGAATCTCCATTTTTCCGAGATATTTTCTCATTTATATTTAAAAATGAGAAGATTTGGTGCAGACAAACTGCTGCCTGCTATGTAAAAGATTTATATCATAAATCTAAAAATAAAATTATTAAAGACCTTAAACAGGTAAATAGTAAAATCAGCCTGACAACTGACTTATGGACAGGAATAAATTCCTTCTCATATTTATCAATAACAATACATTATATTGATAATGATTGGAAATTTGTTAATCTCCTACTTGATTTAATAGAATTACCTCACCCACATACGGGGACAGAAATATCACAATCTATCCAAGCTTCTCTCGAATCATTTAAAATTCATGATAAAGTTATGGCGGTTACTCATGATAATGCTAAAAACATGTTAGCAGCATCGCGTATATTGAGTGAAACTTATACAGAGTTATATGGTTCATCTTTGTATAACCATAGGTGTCTTGCTCACATAATAAATATTATTGTGGGTGAGGGAATGATTGTTTTGAATGATAAATTAGAAAAAATAAATAAATTTGTCAAAAAATTGCACACATCACCAAAATATATGAAAGAATTTTTAGACATAACTGGAGGTATACGCATACCACTTGATGTCGTAACTAGATGGAATTCTAAATTTTTGATGATATACTCTATTAACAAAGTAATTATGTTTACTTTTTATGTTTAATATTTTTTTTATAGAATTTAGATGCAGTCAATAAATTGGGGAAAAAAGGGAGCCACCAAGATGGCCAATTATTTATAAATAATGAAGAATCAATTTTTTTAAAAGATGTAGAGGATTTTTTAAAACCCTTTTACAAGATTACTTTAGAAGCTTCATCAGCTACAAATACAACCATTGGCTCATCTGTATTATTCATAAACTGCATTGAAAATATTTTAAATGATTATATTACTGGTGATACCGTATTGAAAAATACAGCGGAGGTGATGTTAACAAAATGTCAAAAATATATTAAACATATGACATCAATTTCCAATTTTATATCAAGTATATTGGACCCTAAAACAAAGCAGAAATTTTTACCTAAATTTATAAATAAATCGGAATTTTTTCATCAATTTAAAACTTTATATACGAAATATAACAACACATCAAAGTCATCAGCCATTTGAAAATGATATCTTGGATAATGAGGCATTACCATTTTCTGTAAGCATGCATAACATTCTAAGAAAGTAAATATATGATTACATACATATATATATATTTATTATTTAGGGGTGCGTTACAAAATGATCCATTGACCGACGAAATATCGCTTTATTTAAGAGAAGATGTAGCAAGTCCAATAACAAATGTATTAGAATGGTGGTCGAATAATAAAAATTCATATCCTAATTTATCTTTAATGGCTAAAGATTTCTTAGCTCAACAAACCAGAGTGTTGCTAGCGAAAGAATCTTTAGTAAGGCAGTCGAATGTATAACTAAAAAGAGAAATAAAATGTCGTCAACAACACTCAAACATTGCATATCTCTAAATTGTTGGGAAGTTGATATTGAATAAAAATTTATTTTTTAAATATGTATATGGCAGTAGTATTAAAATGTAACTTATTAATTATATAATAATGGTTTATATAAAAAAGCGCAAATATTCTTTATATTGTTTTTCAATATATAAAATTTAAATATTCGTATATTAATAAAATACCATAAATTCATGTGTTAATTTTTGTTATTGAACTCGTCATTACCAGATAAGTCCTATTTTTTAAAATATTCTTGAGTCAAAAATAAATTTTTAAATGAGAATTATCAGCTTATGAATTAATTTACTAAAATATTTTTAATATTCATTATCATCTTTATTAAAAAAACACTGAAAAGTTTTTAAAGGAGATTTATCAGCAACTTAATTAATTTTTCGTAACTTTAGTAAAGGTGATAGACAATAACCTTGAAGCAATATTTATTGATTGATTGTCCGAAAAATAGATGAAATGTTATAATATAAGGCATTTTCAATCATGGAGAAAGATTGTGAAATGATATTGTAAATAATTTTCATATGTTTTTTTTTCGTCTTGCCTTTCTTTCTTTCTCTGGCTCATATGAAATTTAAATAAAACCTATTCTTTAAATTTTTTAAGTATCTAATAAAAAAATGAATCTGTTTCATCGATACAACACCACTACAAAAATCTCAGTATATAGAAAGGATAAAAGAATTTACGATTGAAATTAATTATGATCAAAATATTTATGGTATTATAAAATAATATTTATTAATATTAATTAAATTATAGTTATTATGCAAAAGAAATTAATGGTGCCAGATAGGCGCTAAAATTATTTAAAATAAGAAATAAAATCTTAAAATGTGATGAATTATTCAATTTAGGCAAATAAATAAACAAAACAACTTATAAAAATAAGGAAAAATATATGAAAATTTCAGAATATACTATTTTTTAAATTAAATTTTATTTTTTGATTTTAAAAACATAATAATTGAAAAATCATTTTTCTAAAATTAAGGTATGATATGGTTATTTATTGAATTAATTCATATATCAATTTTCACGTGGAACCAGATACCGGATTAAGAATAAAAAAAATGAATTAGAAGTTACAATCATTAGATAATTCCGATGATCGATCATAATCACTCTTATCTAGGTTTGATTTTGAACCTCAAATATCAATATTGAAAAACATATTTTTGTATAATTTATTTTCTAGGTTTTCAAAGATATTTTATTTATTTTAAACATTTATAAGTTTAAAAAAATCAATTGATAGTTAAATATATATATCATATTGAATCCTTTAAATAAATTGTAATTTACACCCTTCTTTTGTGTGATATAATCTTGACTTCATTTATAATTGAATTTTCTTTGCTTTTGGGAAAAAGTGTAAAATTAAATTTTAATCCACGTCGATGTTAGTTACATACAAAAAAATCCAAAAAGTATTTTTAATCTAATTACCTTCTCTCAACATTAATATCCAAAAAAGTAATCGGTACTTTAGTATTAAAAATGAAGCATATATTTTTTAATGTTTACCTAATAAATTTTAAATAACTAATAAAAGTTTAAATTTTTAAATCGGTCCGTTAGCACTTTTAAAATTAGATAGAAGGGCGTAAGCTAAATCCTAGCTCGTTTCAGCAATGATTCTAAAGATCTTAAAATTAACGAATATATTAATTGTCATATGTCACATCCTCATTTAAATTTCAAATTAACATGTTTACAATTTATTTTACTCTGTTACTTCAAAAAAGTTTAAAAAATAATGATTATGAGAATTGTCACACTTTTCTATGGTACATCTTCACTGAAATTTTAATTTATCATGTTTACAATATATATTTTTACCTATTTGCTTCAAAATTTCAAAAAAACTTAAAAATGACGATTATGACAATTGTCACTTTTCTATGGTACATCTTCGCTTAAATTTAAATAAAACATGCTTAAAATATATATTTTTACCCATTTGCTTCAAAAAATTTCAAAAAAACTTAAAAATGACGATTATGACAATTGTCACTTTACTATGGTACATCTTCACTGAAATTTAAATATAACATTTTTACAATATATTTTTACCCATTTGCTTCAAAAAATTTCAAAAAAAACCTATAAATGACGTTTATGAAAATTGTCACTTTTCTATGGTACATCTTCGCTTAAATTTTATTTTAACATGTTTACAATATATATTTTTACCTATTTGCTTCAAAAAAACTTAAAAATGACGATTATGACAATTGTCACTTTTCTATGGTACATCTTCGCTTAAATTTTATTTTAACACGTTTACAATATATATTTTAACCCATTTGCTTCAAAAAATTTCAAAAAAACCTATAAATGACGATTATGACAATTGTCACTTTTCTATGGTAAATCTTCACTGAAATTTAAATATAACATGTTTACAATATATATTTTTACCCATTTGCTTCAAAAAATTTCAAAAAAACCTATAAATGACGATTATGACAATTGTCACTTTTCTATGGTACATCTTCACTGAAATTTAAATATAACATGTTTACAATATATATTTTTACCCATATGCTTCAAAAATTTTCAAAAAAACTTAAAAATGACGATTATGACAATTGTCACTTTTCTATGGTACATCTTCACTGAAATTTTGATTCAACATGTTTACAATATATATACCTTGCTTTAAAATAATTTAAAAAAAGTTCAAAAATAACAATTTATAATTTTAACCTGTTCCTTCAAAGAAAAATAAACAAAAAAAAATATATAAAAATAACTTATAATAACTCATATAGTTATTTTAATGACAAATTCTCACTTTACTTCTTTTTGTTTATCTTCTCTGATTAGTCGACTAAATTAGTCGCTTTTAGTCGACTAATTAGTCGATCTAAGTAACGACTAATTAGTCGTTTTTAGTCGACTAATTAGTCTTTTTTAGTCGACTAATTAGTCGTTTTAGTCAACTAATTAGTCGTTTTAGTCGACTAAATTAGTCGACCAAATTAGTCGACTAATCGACTAATTTAGTCGCTAAAGTTTTTAGTCGATTTCCTCGACTACGACTATTAGTCTTAGTCGGAAGAAATCAACTAATTAACAACACATCTGCATTAGCATATTTTTTAAATTTATCTTAATATAATAGGTAATGTTTGAAGCTTATATATGATATTTAGAAATTAAGAGTCTCTCCCACCTAGTATTATTAAACGACTCAATTTTAGCCGATTTTTAAAAAAGGCTAAATCAATATTTTATCCAGAATATAATTTCACCAACCTCAAGATTTTAGATTGTAGTTCGACAAAGTTTTGGATATCCATTAACTAAATCTCATGGCTTATAGTCAATATTTCTTGACTAAAATATTGAGTTAGCCGTTTTTAAAAATCGAGTCGTTTAACAACACTAGTAACACTCTTATTTTAAAATTTCTTTTCTAAGCAATCACAAAACCATGATTTTTTTAAAAAAAAAAATTTACCCGCCTGTAAAAACTAAGAAAAAAAATATATACCCTTACTCGAAATCCCTTCCTACACTCAAATTACAATTTAAGGACATTTTTTACTAGGCCTTTTGCTTATAAATGACATCCCTGGAATAATGAATATTCCTGGTGCTGGTATGCTATATGGAAATCATCATATAACTTGTTAGGATAGTACTTGGCTAATATGAATTCTCATAACATCAATGGAATACTGAATATTCATGGTCCTACAAAGGTATGCTATAGGGATATCATATATTTGTTAAGACTGTAATCTGCTAATACGAATTTCCCATCCTATCATATACATAGCGTGCCAAGGTTTGATCTTCATTTGTCTACATTTACGTCCTATGTATGTCATCATGGATCATTAGGGGTATCGATGATCATCAGGTGATTGTGGGCTTGAGCTGAATATTTGAAACGACGTAAAAAAAAAAATTTCCCGTGATTGGAGAAGGAGTAAATATATAAAGATGATGTTACGCAAATACGGAAAATTTTTTTTTTAATATAATTTTCAAATTACAATTTAGGGGAATTTAAAAAAAAATAATTAAACAAATTATGCCATATTCTCTCCATTAACATTAACTACATTATGGAACATCTCTTCTCGCTGCCTGGCAAAGATAACAAAAATAAACAAGGAATATTAAAAATATAATTTAAAAAGGGTGGGAAAGATAAAAAATAAATAAAACACATAATCCATGTACAGTACCATCCCACATTCAAACAATACATCTTTCATTTTTCTTCTCTTTTTGCGGCTTGCCCAGATCAAGGCATCCCACAATGATAAAGCGAAAAATCACAAAATAAAAAACAAACCTTATCACCTAAACAACAATTAAAATCTTCTCCTTTTAAATGACTCGGCCAAAGATAGGGAACTCTTCAAGATACATTTTTATTTATTACGAAACAAACATTACAAATATATAAATTACAAAAAAAAAACACATGCACGCTCTTATCTCACATTACAACAAAAATATTTCTCCCCTTTCACTTTCTTCTTGCGGCCTGCCCATAGATGAAAAACAACCACAAATATGTAATAAAAATCTCAAAACGGTTTAACTCAATACATGATTCCCTTTTAACAATTAACAATATAATATACATCAACTTTCCATTTTAATCTTACATTATATTTCAACTCTTATTTATGACTAACAACTGGTAACCTCAATGAATACCAACTTTTTCCATTACAAACATGAAAGAATTAAAACCAATAAACTTGCATTTTATCAATACATCTCACTACCATCGTGTAATAATAAATAAACCAAAACAAAAAGGATACCAACAGACCTACATTTTAATTCCCGTTTATTCTTTATTTTTACATAACATTTACCCCGCAACTCCTCATAATCACGGAACACTTTTGGTGCCTATTAAGAG